CCTCGCTCAGCCAGTGAGCGGGAACCGGTCTGTATGTGGGATCCGAACCCTCGGCGGGAGCGCCGCCATGCTCCCAAGCGGCACACTGTAGCAGTGTGCCACCGGGCCGGCCCTTAACTTATGTTATTGTGTGCAATCTGCGCAGTGCTATTTGTTGTGATCACACTGTATATTTACGCAGACTCTTTCAGGCAAGCTGCTTAAAGAAGTTTATGTGTAGCTGAAAAAGTTAATCAATGGTAGTTTTTCATTTTACTGATGCGTTTTTCTTGTGAATCAAAAAAAATGTAAATGTTTGGAAATTTTAAGAGAAATGATTGTTAGGGAATTTCCCACTTGAATAAACAAAATCTAAAATTTCCCAGGGAATGAGCAATAAAAATCTTTAAAGAAAAAAAAGGAAAAATAAATTCAAACAGCCTAAATAGACTAAGTCAAACCTTAAAGAGAGTTCCCATTCTGAAAAATCCAAATAAAATTAGTAAAGACCACAGGAACACACACACACACAAATCTTTAACCTAGGACAGTCACCCTCTTAAGCAGTGACCCGACATACTGGATGAACTAAGATACGATGTTATTCACTTTTTTATTCATTTGGCAAATACGTATGCGAATACACGGTGCCTACAACGTGCCAGGTATTGCTCTAGATACTAGAGAAAAAGGAAATAGCGAAGGCCCTGTTTTCAATCTTTACATTCTAATGGGTTAATGTGTAAGAAGATGATAAATTGGAAGGTTTAACTGAGGCCCCAAAGATGCCCAGGGGAGTTGTAAGACAAACCTCCGTATACAGATTTCAAAGGAAATAGCCTCTTGTGTATTCTGGTATTTTCACCCATGTTGAGGAGGTAAGAAAAGCAATCTTAGCGATTGGAGAATGAAGAAAGAATGGGAAGAGAAATTTTCCAATGGACCATGAGATTCCCCTACCTCACCAGGATGCGAGGCAAGTGAGGTTAACCCCAAACTTGGTGGGAAGGGTTCTGGTCAGACCTGCAGAGGACTTGAGGCCTGTTTCCTGCAGAATGGTGTGGTGTGGTTGGTGAGATACCCGGGCTTGACTCAGGCTTGAGAAAGCCAGGTCCTCTGGCGGTGGCCGAGGGTGCATCCGAGGAGCTACTGTACTTCCCTTCCATGGGAATCAAATGTGCACAAGTCCCAGGCACAGCTGCGGGGCCTGAGGCAGGAACGTCAAGCTCAGTTCAACTTCAAGGCAGCCCGTCAACGACAGAGAGCCCGGGCAGTAGAGGCAGTGGGGTGTGCCAGGGGGGCAGAAGCCAAAGGTCAAGAGTGGAGGGGAGGCACTAATCCCATCAAGGGACTTTCAGGTGGAGGGGCCACCAAGGGAGCTTCTGCAGAAGAGACAAAAGTATCCACTAGAGAAAACATCAGCTCTAGACTCATGCTAAATCCAGAGAACTGTGCCAAGTAGAATCTTTCCTGCCCCTTTCCCTCTCCTTCCTCCCTCCTGCTCTGCCCAGGAGTGGCCCGCACGCACGCCCTGGCAGTGCTCCTCCCAAGCTGTAAACCACCACCCAAACTGCCTCCCCACGTGCTCTCCAGTGCTGGTGGCTTTGCCAGCTATACTTTGTCCCCCAGCTCCAGGTCCCTCCACAAGGCAGACTCCAACCACATGCACTCAAACTGTGCAGAGAAGTCCAGGATGATTTTCTGTGGCTAGTTCTGTTTGCAAAGAATGGTCAGCAGAAAGTAAATAGGGTCCAAGTCAAAGTGCCATATATTTTCCCCAGAAATACCCAGGGATTTGATATCCCAATCTTTTAAGAACTAATGTCAACTCCCCTTTCCCTGATCCAAGCCTTACTCCCTGGAAGAGTCTCAGAGCAATGAGAAAGGAACCCAACCAGCCCTCTCTAAGGGATGTGGCTAACGCATGGTGATGAAAGTGATCTGAGGAGAAAGGAAATTTGAGGCTTAACTACTTTTCATTGAATCTTAGGATGGCAGTTTATAGGTTTACAATGTACACTTTATGCTTAAAGTGTTTTCTGCCGATTGCACTTTCTTTCTTACCTCTCAGCTGCTAAAGGGGAATGTGTCCTATCTGTGTGACTCTATGTGTGTTTTTCATGCATCCCAAGTTACACCTTGAAGAGTTCACTGAGACCGTCCTCGGCTTGATGAGATCACCTCTAAGCTTGCCCTTTGGGGATTTTGTATTTAGTTTATTTAAGTTGTTCGCAGGGTGGGGGGGTGGGTGTTCCCCTCAAAAGTGGGGCCAATAGTAGGACAGGTTTCAGATGCCCATGACAAAGAGAAGGCTCAGGAGAAGAGAGGGCAGCCGTGTCCTCCCCAGATGCACTCAGTAAAAGCCCTCTTTAAAAATTTATTTACTATGACTATTTTTGTAGATCCATATTAGGGAGGTAATTGCTGCATTTATCTCAGTAGTTTCCTTACAAAAAAGAAAGCAATTTACCACACTGAGGGACATCACAGTAGTCAAAAAGTTTTCTCGGATTCGTCGTGTAGCACCAGGGACCGTTGACATCACCATCAGGATTACGGCAGTACTGGAAGAAAGCAGCGTGTAAGGCATGGATCACATGGGGCAGAAGAGGCAGAAGGGTTCCGAGGCACAGACACTTGACTCTGTCCTTGGAAAACAAAAGGGAGTGTCCCTTTTTCTTTCTTTCTTATTTATTTATTTTGGGCAAAGGTACTTTCCTGGATGCATGTAAAGGTTCTGAATCATAGTACGCTGTTGGGCTTGTCCCCTTGTTCAAAAGGAGCTCCAACTATGAGGCCACTCCCCTGGACATGGGGTGGTGACCCTGAAGGGTCTTGAGGTAGACGGCATCCAGGAGCCTGAGTCAGTGGAGATCTCAGAGACCCAGCAGCAGAGACGGTGGGACGCCACTGACTCGTCTCGTGCTGGTGGACTTCAGCTGTCTTCTACCTGATGAAGCCTGTTGGCTATTGACTCACAAATGCTTATTTCCATGAATTATGTGCCCTCCATGGACAAGATGCAGAAAGGCAGCATCTTCCTTTTCCTTCCTGTGATATTGTGATATAATGAGAAATATATATTTGGTGTCTGTACCCTACCCCCAACCCTGGTTCTTGGCACCGAGTTCCTAAGACCTTTCAGACTTCCTGGGTCATAACATCTGATGCAGAACTCCTAATCTTTTGGAATTTCCTGGGTGACAGGAACATCTTTTGTTCTGATGAGATGATTCTTGGTGAGTTCCTGGAGAGCCTCAGGATGGGGGCTTGTTGTCAGGGGAACCAACCATGTGATTAGAGAGTTGGAACATTCAACCCCACTCCCCAACCTTCAGGGAGGGAAGGGGGCTGAAGGGTGAGTTGATTACCAATGTCTAATCAATCATGCCTAAGTAATGAAGCCTCCATAAAAACCCAAAAAGACAGGGTTTGGAGAGCTTCCAGATAGCTGAACACATGGTGGTTCTTGCAGAGCGGAACTCCTGGGGGAGGCATGGAAGCTCCGTGCCTCTTACGCCATTCCTTGCCTCATCTGTATCCTCTGTAATAATAGTTATAATAAACTGGTAACTGTAATTAAGTATTTCCCTGAGTTCTGTGAGCCACCCAAATTAATGAAAACTGATGAGGAGGGGGTTGTAGGAACCCCAATTTATAGCTGGTCGATCAGAAGTTCCAGAAGCCCAGACTTGCAATGGGCATCCTCAGTGGGGGCAGTCTTGTAGGACTGAGCCCTTAGCCTGTGGGATCTGACACTATCTCCAGGAAGATAGTATCAGAATTGAGTTAAACTGTAGGACACCCAGCTGGTATCTGCTGGAGAATTGCTTGTGCATGGAGAGAAACCCCCACACATCTGGTGTCAGAAGCTTTATGTTGAATGGTGAGTGAGAGTGGAAAAAACACTTTGGTTTTCCCTATATCTCAGACTTCCTTATCCATATCCCACAACATAAACCATCCCAGAGAGTGTGTGAGACTAGGGGAAATCCTAATGTGAGCAGTCCTGATGGCCTATCCAAATTTTTTGTAAAAAAACCTAAATGTCATGAAGGGTATCTTTGACCACCAGAAACTAGAGGACAAACCCCAGAAACTAGAAACAGCACTAGATGACAGAAGCATGCAAGAAACGTCACGAAAAGGCGGTAAGAGATTGCAGAATGACAGGAAATGTGGAGGCCGCTCACTCCGCGCATTGCACTTTCCACGCTGAAGCCAATCACTAGGCTTAGTTTCCCCAAAATCACTCAAGTCCCTCCCCCCTTTTGCCCAACACTAAGTATCAGTCCAGGCTCATTTTCTGTAACACAGGACCAATTCTGTTTGCAGAGACTGGTCAGCAAAAGGCAAAATAGAGTCCAAACCAAAGTGGCTTACGTTTTTTTCCAGACCTGCCCGTGGGTTTGTCTCTGGAGTGAAGATGTTATGTTTGTGGGGCTCCTGGGCAGCCCATTCCTGGCATGGAGTGCCAGCCACTGTGGTCGCCTTCTTGCCCCGATAGCTTTTGCCATTCCCAAACATGCAGTCTGCAGGAAATACATTGGGTGGTTAGGTACTTCTACACAGACCCAGGACAATACAGAATCAAGGCAGCAGTGTTAGTTTTCTCTAAGATGATGCATTTGGTGGTCACAATCTTCAGAACGTTGGGATGCTGATGATCATGATGAACACTGCCCATCTCAAGAAGTTACCAGAAGCGCTTAGTGGCTTGGAAATAATCACAAACTTAGCATGATGTTAGAATGGGAAATTTGGCTAGGACACTAAGATAACCAATTTTATGACAAGGTGAGTAGTCAGCTAGAGCACCCTGCAGGATTTGCAGGAGTCCTAAAAAAAACCCGCCCACCCACATCATGTCAACAGTAATAGCTCAACATCCCCAGAGATGGAGACCCTCAGCCAACACTGAGGTCCCGTGCAGCACTGAAGGCTTCTACATGAGTTAGATGCATCCATCTCTTTTCATCCCAGTGTCCAAGTATGTAGCTGTCTGGCCACAGACTTCTTACCTGGTTCAGAGGTAGTCTCTACACTTGGGACTTGGGCAATAGTCGGAGGACCCACGACACGGCCTTCTGTTTCTGTGCATTTCTTCAGATTGCAGAACTCCCACCTGACACTTGGATCGGTGGTATAACACCAAGGGCTTTTATCAGCGTCTGGATTCCTACAGTAGTTCAGTGTCAAGCCCCTGTAAATTCCAAAACAGTACATGTCATGAGAAGTGGGAGAATTTGGGGGGGGTCCAAGACCTTCCAAACTTTGTTATAAAAGTTGTTAATGGGTGATTTTGAAATATTCCCATTAAAGGTACAATAATAATGGCACAAGCACAAGTGGTCCTCAACTTCTACACAACCGCATAAATTTCAAAGATAGGTTACAATTTTTATTTTAAAAAATCAAAAGTACTATGCCAGAAGCCCCCAGGCTCCCAAGTGGGGTGGGAGGGGTCTGACGGCCTCAGCCAAGTACGCTCAACATCCGTATCCAGCCTGGCGATGACCACACCAAGGCTGTAAACCCCCTGGGCCCCTGAGCCAGGGTGGGGGGGCCTATGTGCCTCAGTCTTGCCCCCACCCCCTCACGCCCACTCCACCCCCCCACTTCTCCACAACATCTTAGAATGCAAAAATATAATAATAATAATAATAATAATTTTTTTAAAAAATCAAAAGTAATGTATGCCCTATATAAAAACTAAGGTAATATATAAATGTGTAAAAGAAAGTATCAGAATATTTTCCTTCCACATTCTGCCAAATACACTCCTCAGTAACCATTACAGATTTTGAAGTGTATATTTTAGATTTTTTTATGCACATGCAAATCTAAATCTATCTATCTATATCTCTGTCACTATGGGTATGAATATGTAGTGATATGTAAACTGGAACTAAAACATATTTCCCCAAGGAAGAAATGGCATACAAGATAATAACATTCCCAGGCCAGTCTCCTTAGCCTATTTACTCACAATGTAGCTAAAATGCTATATGTTTACAATGAAAAATCATAAAAATACTATTACTGTAAATATTGTATCNCCACCCCCCCACTTCTCCACAACATCTTAGAATGCAAAAATATAATAATAATAATAATAATTTTTTTAAAAAATCAAAAGTAATATATGCCCTATATAAAAACTAAGGTAATATATAAACGTGTAAAAGAAAGTATCAGAATATGAATGTGTAAAAGAAAGTATCAGAATATTTTCCTTCCACATTCTGCCAAATACACTCCTCAGTAACCATTACAGATTTTGAAGTGTATATTTTAGATTTTTTTATGCACATGCAAATCTAAATCTATCTATCTATATCTCTGTCACTATGGGTATGAATATGTAGTGATATGTAAACTGGAACTAAAACATATTTCCCCGAGGAAGAAATGGCAGACAAGATAATAACATTCCCAGGCCAGTCTCCTTAGTCTATTTACTCACAATGTAGTATAACATTCCCAGGCCAGTCTCCTTAGCCTATTTACTCACAATGTAGCTAAAATGCTATATGTTTACAATGAAAAATCATAAAAATACTATTACTGTAAATATTGTATCAGGTCGACCAAGTGGGTGGGGATATGAAAGACGCATGAAAGCTGGCCTGGAAAACCAGCTCCCAGGCAGGGTTTTGTTTCTTTAGGATGCGCTCGTGGGCAGGAATGCCTCCCATGTTCTCAGTCCATCCTCCACTAGCTGCAACCAGTTGGGGACTGAGGGAACAGCAGAGGACTCTGAAGAACAGTGGGACCATGGGGATAAAGGGAGATGTCCGGGTAGAATAGGGGATCTGAGGGAGGCTTGGGGGTTATGAAGGAGTCAGAAAAAAATCAAGTAAGAGACACAGCAGGTGAGGACCCTGGGGGTGCTGGAAAATGCCCCCCGCCCACCTTGGGCCTCCCACGAACCTTGCCCCAACCTCTCAGAGTCTCAGCCTTGGAATCCCCTACAGTTCAGACCCCACAGCCTGTGGCTGTCTATTGTACTATAGATGAGTGACAGTCTCCCACCCAGGCCTAAGACGTGAGGAGGGTGGCCAGGGGATTTCCACGCAACTGGGTGTGGTCAAAGCTTAGCATTTGAAACAGAATCCTGCTCTCTTTTTCAGTTATGGTATACTTTACACATAGTGCAATTGCAGATCGTAAACGCACGCAACTGGGTGTGGTCAAAGCTTAGCATTTGAAACAGAATCCTGCTCTCTTTTTCAGTTACGGTATACTTTACACATAGTGCAATTGCAGATCGTAAACGCAGTTGGGTGATTCTGACGAACACACACTCCTGCATAACCCACACTTGTATCATGATGTAGAACATTTCCATCACCCCAGAAGCTCAGTCAGTCTCTGTTACACCCGCCCATCCCCAGAGGCAAGTACTATTGATTTCTTTCATCATAAATCAGCTTTGCCTCTTCAAGAACCTCACAGAAATGGACTGATACAGAGTATACACTTTTGTGTCTAGTTTCTTTCTTTATTATAATATTTTTAAGTTTCATCCCTACTATTTGAGAGTATCAGTATCTTGTTCCTTTTTATTGCTGAGTAGTATCCCATTGTATACATGGACCGAAAACTATTTGTTTTCTTATTGACAGACACTGAAGTTGTTTACAGCTTGGGGTTATTATAAATTAAGCTGCTGTGAATATTCTTACAGATTTATTTGTGGACTTATGGTTTCATTTCCTTAGGGTAAATATTGGGAATAGAATTGCAGGTTTGTAAGGCAGATGCATGTTTATTTAACTCAATAAGAAATCATCAGACTGATTTCCAGAGTGGTTGTACATTTTACATTTCAGCCAGCGTGTATGAGAGTTGCACCTCCTTGCTCCACATCCCTGACACCACTTATCATTTTCTGCCTTTTTAATACTAGCCACTTCCATCGGATGGTTGGGGGTGTCTCACTATAGTGACAATTCTTATTTCTTTGATGGCTAAGACACTGAGCATTTTTTCCACATGCTTATTGGCCATTTGTACATCTTTCCCCGTGCAATGCCTATACAAGTATGTTGCCTGTTTTTACCAAGTTGTTTTTCCTCTTATTAGCAAGTGGAAGGAATGTTTATATATCCTGGAGACAAGCCATTTGTCAGTATATGGACTGAAAGTATTTTTCTCCCAGTCTGGGACTTGCCTATTTATTTTCTTAACAATGACTTTTGGTGAGCAGAGGTTTTCATTTTATGAAAGCCCAGATTATAATTTTTTTCTTTTATAGTTAGTGTTTTCTGGGCCATGCCTAAAAAAAAAAAAATTGCCTTAACCAAGGTTATGAAAACATTCTTTTATGTTATTTTCCTAGTTTTATATTTCAGCTTTGGTTTTAGCTTTTATATTTAGGTCTAAGAGCTATCTCAAATTAATTCGAGGTCGAAAGTAGAAATCAAAATTTGTTTTTGTTTTCTTTTTTTTTTTTTTTTTTTTTTTTTTTTTTTTTTTTT